TCACCACAGAAACGGGGGCTTCGAGACTCAAAGGTGAATGCAGGAGTAGACCCAAAGTGCAAACCTGAGTCTTCAGAGGGAGAGTAACCCTGTCTAACATGGCATACAATGGGCCCTTGGTATCTGCTGGGGTTTGCTTTCAGGACCCCTAGTGGATACCAAAATCTGTGGATGCTCAAGTCCCATTAAATTCAATAGCATAGTAAAATGGTGTCTCTTATAAAAAAATGCCAAAATCAAGATTGATGTTTTGGAATTTATATATTTTTAAAATCTTGGCAAGCCGTGGATGGTTGACTCTGTGGATAAGGAAACTGTGGATCCAAAGGGGGCCAACTGTACTTTGCAGCCTGTCTCTCAACCCCTAGGGCTGCTTCCACACTGCAGAAATAATCCTGTTTGACACCACTTTAACTGTTATGGCTCAATACTATCCATACTATTCTGGGAATTGCAGTTTGTTCTGGCACTAGAGCTCTCTGACAGAAGGCTAAATGTCTCACAAAAGTACAATTCCCAGAATTCCATATCAATGAGCCATGGCAGTTAAAGTGGTGCCAAACTGGGTTATTTCTGCAGTGCAGATGCAGCCTAGGAACATTTATTTTTGATATCTGGATGAAAGTTCAGTTTGTTCTTCTTTATCCAATCCATTACTGATGCCAGACACTGATTTAGAACTGAAACAGCTTCCTTGCAGTTCCGGGGAAAGAAGTCCCATCAGCATAGTATGGCATCAGACTCCAATTAGATTATAATTTTTCCACTTGCTCTCACAGGTTAAGGACCAGTGTTAAAGACTGTTGTTGATGGTGGTGTTGACCCTATCACAGGGTTTTCTTGACAAGATTTGTTCAGAGAAGATTTGCCTTTGTTTTTCTCATCCAATAAGTATCTGTGGCCAAGTAGGAATTCGAACCCTGGTCTCCAGAGTTATAGTCGAATGCTCAAACCACTACACCACGCGGACTCTCCACACTAAAGGTATAGCTTGCTTATTCCTCTTCTACAATCATTTTCTGAATCACCCTGTGTTTCTATTTGTCATCATTTTGTGAGTTACTTGAGTAACTGAGGGCTTTTGCAGACTGCCAGAAATAGTGCAAATTGAGTCCACTTTAAGGGTTAGGGTTAGTGCTAGGGAATCATGGGAATTGTTTTTTGTTTTTTTTTCCTGAGACATTAAGCCTTCTGTGTCAGAGAACTCTGGTGCCATAATAAAATACAGTTCCCATGATTCCCTAACCCTAACCCTTAAAGTGGACTCAATTTGCACTATTTCTAGCAGTCTGCAAAGGCCCTGAGTTAACACTGCATGGGATTTGGATGTTAATGTCACTGAAGTTCCAAGGCTGAAAATAGATTTATACGTGAAGATTTTTTGCAGTTTAATTTCTGTGTCACCAATCCTAGAATAGCTCAGACATGGACATAAATGGGGCCCCTATTTTGAGAACTATTCCTGGGCCCCAGCCACCTTAATCCATCTAATCTTAATCTGTCTGGGTCCCAGCCACCTTAATCTGTTTAATCTTAATCAGTCTAGGTCCTAGCCACCTTAATCTTTTTTCTCTTTCTTATGTTTTTAAATTATTTTAATATTATTTAAAATTAAATTATTAAGTTGAAAAATGTTTAAAATTTATTTTAATGTACTGCTGGTTTAATATGTCATTTTATTTGTGTGTTTTTCAGATTCTATTTAGTTTAACTGTTTTATCTGTATTTTTTGTGTTGTAACTGTGCTGGATCCTGTACTAGGAGAAAGGAGGAATTTAAATGAAATAAATAATTTTCCATGCTGCTACCATTCGTTTCCCTGAGATTTTACTCTGACTGCTCTTTCCTCAGAACTGCTAACTCTCTTCTTCCTTTCCCAGATATTCTTGTACAGATGAGGAATATGAATGAGGTGGAGAGAATGTCGCATCCCCGTCCCATCGCGCTTCCTTTCCCCATGCGATCACACGACGTCGCAGAGAAACCCCGCCCATCCCCGTCGCATCCCCGTCCCAATGTGGCATCATGCTGCATTATCCGGCATCATCCACGTTCTTTTGAACTCCTGGTCTAAATGGGAATTACATTTCCCGCGACCGGAATGATACTGGGATGATGCTGCTTTCTGTATTAAGGAAGCGCAATGGGACGGGGATGCGACTGCTTTAGACCCCGTGTGATAAGGTCCTAAGGATGTGTCTACATGCATGTAGCCCTTGCCCTTGGGAATCATGGAAGTTTGGGGCTATTTTTGAATTTTTAAGTTTTTTAAAATAAATTTAAATCAATTAAAAAGCTGTGCCTTACTAATACATGATTGATAAAGTAACAACTACTTTAACTAAATAAATAACTAAATATTTCCATACTCTCACTGCTTCTATTTTTCTCTCAGCAATGTAAATATGAGTTCCAAGAGGAAACTGGCTATAATGTATAGCCTTCCAACACTTCTTTTCATACCAAAAACTGATATACAGTGGTTCCTTCACATTTGCTGGGGTTGGGGCATTGTGAAAGTGGGAAAACCGCAAACAACCCCCCTTTTTTTTTAATCTGCTTGAATACCTTGCTAGGAATCTCTAGGTCCTTCAGCCCAACTCAATCGTCAACATCTGCTGGAAGTTGACCATAGAATTGCATTGGAGGACCTTTAAATGCCTAGAGACCGTCAAATGCCTAGAGTGGACATTGACTATAGAGTCATGCTGGAGGATGTAGAGATTCCAAGAGAAAACATATTAATCTAATCTGTGAATAATCAAATCCTCAAAAGTCAAAGCCACAAATATGGAAGGCCAACTGTAATATACTATGATATTTTTTATTGATGGTAAATGATGCAGCAGGTAGAAAAGAAGCATCACAGTATCTTAGCTGATTGGTTTTAACATCCTCTCACAATAAATGGTAGAACTGGGCATCTAACTATCCCAGGGTTGATGCTCAAAATTCCCATGGCTGGTTATGGGTCCCTTGACCTGGGGTACATCCTGTCCAAGAGTCAGCCCAGTGTGAGATTGATTCCTGCACAGAATGCAGAAGCAAACAAAAGGAAAATGAAGTACACAAGTGTCCTAATAGCTATGAGAACTATAGAACAAGTTGCTTAAAGGAAAGTGTGCTCCCCTGTTCCTTCTCCAGCTGCACATCTTTTCCCAGCCTCAAATTGTCAAGCTAAACTTGCAGGGGTAGGCAACCTTTCCTCTTTAAGGGCCGAGGGACTTCAGCTCCCAGAATCCCAGGAGCTATTGGCCAACATGGGACTATTGGCCAACATGGTTGAGGCTTCTGGGAGCTGAAGTCCCTCGGCCCTTAAAGGGGAAAGGTTGCCTACCCCTGAGCTAAAGAAAAGCCATCTCACAAAGCATACCAAATAGAAATCAACCCTTTCTGTACCATTGGACAGCTGTTAATGTTTGGCCATGATGCTAACAAGGACTTTAAAGCCCTTCCATGCTCACTACAGCATAGCCAATGTTTGATGACAAGCTGAGAAAAGGGACTATCGATCCTTCATGTTTTGCCCACAACAAAGAGTGCTCTTACGGCTGCTTCACATATTATGGTTTTAATGTCATGTGGATACCTGAATGTGTTGTATTTTCAGAGAAAATTTAGCTTGCTTGTGAACATTAATGTTAGTAACTGGCATTCTTTCATCCAGTGACTGATATATTTGCATTCACTATGGATGAAAGCAAGTTTGTTTTGTTGTTTAACTAGGTAGGCCAGGAAAACTGTTGGTAAAGGGATTCTGATTTAATCAAGACTGAAACAATAAAGCAAGTTGGTAGATAAATCAAATAAAGTAGCTTATGTGTGGTTTAAAAAATATATAATGAGTAAGAAGACACTATGTGCAAACTTGTTAAATCTTATTCGAGTTTAGGGAACAGTCCCATTTGCTCATATATGTTTGCCATCCAATTCAGTTAGCAGAATCTATTTTCAACCTTTTGGACACAGTCAGTTCTAAAAACAAAACACACCAAAATATAAGTACTTCCTGATGCTTCCCCTTACTACTTATTTTTACATGTCCAGGGACATTTTAGATGCTTGTTGACATCTTTCAGTCATTGGTGTAAAACAGGAGTAGGCAATCCTTTTGAGCCTGGGGCCGGGTTGCTGTCCCTCCGACAATTGGGGGGCTGAAGCACCATAAATAAATAAATAAATAAATATTTTTTTAAAAAAAAATTAAAGAAATTAAAAATATATATGCATGCACACTCTCTCAGCCCCAGAAAAGCCATGGCAAAACCCCTGTGGAGATTTTGCCAAGAAAACCCCAAGAACAAGTAATAACAACAATAATCAATATCATCATGGCAGGGGGCGGCAGGAGGCGGCAGGACCGTCCTGGGGCTGGTCCAAAGGCCTTGGGGGGTCGCATCCGGCCCCCGGACCTTAGGTTGCTTACCCTGGTGGAAAAGGTCCCATTATCTTTACATTGTAAAACAGCAGACTTGTGGAAAGAATAATTTTTGGAGAATTTACAAACTGCCAAGTGAGCAAGTTAATATTGTTATTTAGAAGCTACTTTCTCTGACATCTTTGGCTAGAAGGACCAATTAATCTGCCAGCCGTAAAGCAAATTAAGGTCTCAATGGAATACTTTGGTTTTGGAGGCACTGTGGGTATAAACAAGATTTTCAAGTGTTCTAAAAATATTAAGGGACTAAGTATATCACAAATTTAATATGGTGCCAAACAATGAGTCACCATGGTTCAGCCAAATTAGAAATCTACAGAGTTAGGTTTCTTACATCTATTTTGGGAATTCCCAAATGGGAATTCCCCTTGATTCTGCTTATTAATGATACTGGGATTCTACCAGTCATGATGAGTGTTTATGCATATTCAGCTGCTCATCAGCAATCTGGGCTATGGCGGATGACAGATTTCTTACATTATACCTACATGAATTCTCGTGGACATTCAAGCAGGGGATGCATGGTGTCAGAGAGCAAAATAGTTAATTGAGTCTTGTGGATGTTAACAATTCATAATTCTGTTTTGCTGAGACACCGGCTCTACTGGGCTCCTTCCTTCTCCAGCTGCAGGTATCTGCTGACATTCCAACTGGCTGCAGCAGAGGGAGAGATGGGACTCCATTCCATAAGCTTTGTTGAGAGACCAACTCCATTGGGCTGTTCCTCTTCTTTCTGAACTACTTTATTTCATTCCAGGTGATCATTATAAGAACTGTTACAGAGAGCTTGGAAGTAAGAAGTTACATATAACATGATTTCCTGCAAAAAAGTTTGTTTTGGGATGGCTCGGGTCGGAAAGGCACAATGAAGTAACAGTTGGCCCTTCACATTTATGGCTTTGATTTTTGTGGATTTGATTATTCGTGGATTTGATTAATATGTTCTTTCTAGGAAAGTCTAGGTCCTCTTGTGCAACTCTTCTGGAGGTTGACCACAGAGTTGTACTGAAGGACCTAGAGATTCCTAATGAAAACACTTCTCTAGGCATTTGTAGGTCATCCAGCATGAGTCTATAGTCAACTTCTGTCAGATGTTGACTAAGAGTTGTGCTGGAAGATCTAGAAATTCCTAGAGGTAAAAAAAAGTAGTGTTGTTTTATTTGCAGATTTTCTACTTTCACAGAGATCCTGTGTTTCTAACACTAGCAAATGTGGAAGGCCCACTCTTTCTTTTTTTTTTAATATTATATTTATTATTATTATACATTAAAATTTAAATACAAGCTCTCTGTGAATCAAGTACAAATACCAATACAAATATACAGATATCTTCCTTGAGATGAAACCAATAAACAAAATCAGGAACAAAAAAACCCACCACACAACAACAAAAAAACCCACTTCCTTATAGTTTGTCATACTAATAGAATGTTCATCGTAGTTAGCTTTACCTCTGTTGCCTCATTCTCTGTCATATTCATAATACAAATTAAACTGCCATGAGAAATATGTAAGAAGAGATTATATTTGTT